GTATGCCATCAATTTCTGGGACCTTACTGTTTGCCAATAGCCTTAGTGCAGTTTTAGTTACTTCCTTTAATGTTATTAGTTTTAAATCATATGCTACTTCTTGAAATGGTTCAACATTGACCAGTTCTTTTTGTTACCGTGACTCTGTATATCTCCTCTACCTTCTTCTGCTGACTCCAACATCATTCAAGATTTTGACTATAGAATACTTCAGTATTGCAACTCCAAGCTTGAATTTGGTTTTCAGTCATTTATTACAGCTTTAGAAATTCTGAATGTTCTGTATGGTTTTTGCTTTTGCTTTTCTAATTCCAGCTCCATGCACATTTGATTTAAATACTTTGTTCTTATTAAAAAATTAGTTAGAACAGTATAATGACAGAAAACAGCCAGAAATTTAAACTAAATTCAGGAAAGATGTTGGCATGAAGGATATTATTGCTGATTTCAGAGATATCTCAGAGGAAAGCAGAGATTGCTAGAAAGATGTTTACTTGGTTTTTAATTTTTTTTTAAGTTGACTTTCATACAATCATTCATATACATTGTGCTTTACTCATGTACATTGTTTGAATGTGTATTTTCTCATGATACCTGAAAAGTTCTTCTAATACCTTTCCCCCAACTTTTCTCCCCCTCCTGTTCTGGAATTCCTACCACATGTATGTGTTTGCATGTGATGCTATTCCACTTGATTTTTATGTTTTATTCATTTTCCTTCCATCTTGGCTCTGCTTTTTTTCCCCTTAGGATGTTCTCAATGAGGTCTTGTTTTCTGTCTCAGTGACTCTCTCTTTCACATATTCTATCTTGTTCTTTTGTCTGTAATGAAAACTTCTTTATTATCAGCCTTGTCAAATTGTCTTTCATTTTCATAATTTTCCACTATTTCTAGGATTCTCTTGGTTGTTTCCTCTTTGTCTTGTATTAATTTTTTAAATTGTTGTACATCTTTCCAGGTGGCATCAACTCTTTGGTCCATCATTTGTCATTTCTTGAGTACCAATCCACATTGTTGTATTTCATCTGCCTTCTTGCCTGTGGGATATACACTGGGTCTATGATCTGGTCTGCTTTTTTAGGAGAAGATCTGTTTTGTTTTTTCTTAATATTTCAGTCTGAATGAGCTTCCTTGGCAGTATGTGGTGTTCTTTTTTATATGTGTGAGGTAGTTTCTGCTGTGTCTGTGTAGATAGTTTCCAGTTCTTTATGTTACACATGTAAAGTTGTATATTTTAAGAGTTGTAGTCTGAGGTTGATAGAGTTTTAAAAGTCTAGATTAGTGGTTTGGTTTGAGACACAACTATCTAGATGAACAGATTTTATATCTTGTGATGGATGACAGAGATAGGGGCAGGCAATGTTGGGGGGGGTGTGTGTGTGCACGTGCGTGCTGGTTTTGCACTGCAGCAGATCTGCTTTGAGGGGTTAGAGCCCAGACATTTGTGTCTGACAGGTGTTTCCTTCCAGTCGATCAGTATGTGGAATTGTTTACAGGGTCTGTGGGCTTGGCAAGTGAAGGGCATTGCTTTTTCTCTGATGAACCTTTTATACAGATTCTCATGCAGTGGGGATGTGCCAGTGTGCTCTCTCACTAGCAACAGTGAAGAAAAAAACAGGGGGGAAAAAATTCAAGTTACCTTTGTCCTTCTCCCACAATCCCACCCAAAGAAGGCAATGAGATTTTGAGTGAGATATTTTGTTCATACTTAGGCAATGGACAAAGCCACCATATAAATAGTGAATGAGACATAAATTACCTTGGTTTGTAACCACTCAGTTCCCCAGTCTGAAAGCAAACTTCTTGACCAGTGTCCATGGACACCAGGGAGATGTGGTCTCTCACTCTGTATTGTGGTGGCTTAAAAGTGGTGTTGTGGCAGGCTTGCTTTCCATGGGTCCATTAAGACAGAAGTTCAAAGTATCAGGAAGCTGTAGCTTCTGCTGGAGTCACTAGAAGTGGGTCAGCCTTTGGTTTCCAATCTGCTTGGGGCCACTAGGGCCCCTGGAGATGCTCAACTCAGCACAGCCTTTTGTTTCCCTTCTGTGAGGTCACTTAAGATGTTTTCTTGTGGTTTAATGACTGTGTAAAGGCATTTTATTGATTCATAACAAATTATGGCTAACTTTTAGTAGAATGGGAATCTTGAAATATCTTTTCAATCTGTATGCAGAACAGATCATCTGGGACACTGGGTTGTATGAGGAGGAATGTGGCATCAGGATTGGAGGAAGTTTCATCAACAACCTTTGCTATGCAGATGACACAACCCTGCTTGCTGACACTGAGGAGGACCTGAAGCACTTGCTGCAGAAGGTCAAGGACCGTAGCCTTCAATATGGATTGAAGCTCAACATCAAGAAAACAAAGATTCTCACCACTGAACCAAACTGGCACCATCATTATTGGTAAAGAGATGGAGATTGTTAACAGTTTTAGCTTGCTTGGCTTCACAATCAACACTCTTGGTACCAGTAGCCAGTAAATCAAGAGACAAATTGCATAGGGAAAGTCAGCTGTCAGAAACCTTTCCAGAGTACTGAAGAACAATGGCGTTAGGCTGGAGACTAAGGTGCACCTGATCCAGGGCATAGTCTTAGAAATTGTACACTATGCATCGGAGATCTGGACAGTGACTAGAGATGATAGAAAGAGAATTGATGCCTTTGAGCTGTGGTGCTGAAGAAGAGTGTTGACTATACCATGGACTGCTAGGAAAACAAACAGTTTCTTCCTGGAGAGAGCGAAACTAGGCTGCTCCTTGAAGGCAAGGATTCTGAAGCTTCATCTGACATACTTTGGCCATGTTACAAGGAGGGACCCTTCCTTGGAGATGAACATCATGCTTAGGAGGGTAGAGGGACAGTGATAGAGAAGAAGATCTTCGATGAGATGGATCAATTCCGTGATTGGGTAATGGGAGTAGGTGTGACAGAGATACGAAATTATAACAGTGGTAAAATCATGAGTGATTAAGGCTCACCTTTCGGTTTTGGGATATTGTTAGAACAAGTATTATAGAATGAACAATTACAATATTTTAAATTTTGTTACATATACATGTAGACAAAAACTTGCTTTTTCAGATTCTTTACGTTCAATAGCATTAACTTCTTGAACATATGTTACTTTTATTATAATAAGTAAATCTAAAAATACTGTGAAAGTTTTAAAACTTCAGACTAATTTTCTTTTTAAGTATATTTTGCATAAGCTCAAGTATCCACATTTTAACAATTTCTAGCTGATGAGTTTTGATGAATGCCTGTAACCTTATACAAATGAAATAAAGTATAGTAGATACAAGACCTTTACTTGTAGATTAAGAATGATTCTGAAAGAGGAGAAGCAGCTGTAAACATCCATCAATAACTGGAATTTACTGATGAAGAACAGATTATAGCCTTCAGTATGGCTTGCACCTTAACTTGAAACAAACAAAAAAGTCTCCACAACTGGATGAATAAATTATATCACAGGAAACAGAGAAAAGACTGTTGTTGTTAATGATTGTATTTGACTTGTATTCACAATCAATGTTCATGGAAAAAGCCAGATATCATATATGTGAGAATGGTAAATCTTCAGTAAAGGACTTCTTCAAAATACTAAAGAACAAATATTTACCTTTAGGGATTGAATTGTCCCTGACTCATGTGATGGGCTGACTCTGCAGCAAATAACAACCACCACTGTTTTTTTTCTCATTATCCTTTAAGTCTCAGCTTAGTTTCTCAATTTTCCAAATAGGTCCTTTCTTAAATTAGATTTCTTCCAAACATTGAATGTCAGCTCACTGAAGACAGGGGCATTGCCTATCCTACAATCAAAATATCCCCCACAGTTAGGATAGTGCTGCCAGCATGGAATAGGATTTTAATATCTAATCTTTGTGATAGAATATGTGTGTGGATTCATCTTTTGAGCTTCATTTTTCTTGGTTGCAAAGTGGAGTTAATGGCATATGTTTATCACAGGGAGGCAGGGTCTGCAATTAGATCCTGCAGTGTTACGTTCTGGAAATAGAGAGAATTCTGAAAGGCCTTGATGTTCACAATCTGAAGGAAGTAGAAAGTGGAGCTGACTACTCAGAGAGCCCTGCCCCTGAGGCTCAACAGTCCAAGGCCCCCGGATGCCTTCTCTCTCAGTGATCTGACTCCTCTGGTTCAAAGCAGAGTGTGTTTTACAAGTGCTTATTGACTTCTCAGCGTTATGGTGCAATATCCACAGCCAAGGAATTCAGTGGAGTAGTAATTCCGCAACAAATGGAGGTTACCATGAGTTTGAATTAACAGTCGTGGGCTTCATTTGCTCTCTTACTAGAAACTTACAGAGAAACTAAATTCAGCGTCTCTGAAGATTATGATCATGTTAATGATTTCTATCTGAATTTTGTTTAGGAATGAAAAAGTTTTTGGTTTTTCTTTTTTGCATTTGTATCTTGCACAGGTCTTAGTTATGAGAGTTCTGTGTCTATATGGACAAGACTGGAAATAAACACGGAATGTTCACAATGAAAGGAAAAGAAAACCAAGAAAAAACAAGTGCTTATTGAATAGTTTTGGTCACAAGCTTAAGAAACTCGAAGACGTGCTGCCATCCTCTCACTTTCCTTCCAATTGAACACAGTTTCATGCACATCCTCTTTTCCTATTTTCATTCTGGATACCCTGACAGAGTGAGTTTAGCCTGACTCATTCCTTTATTCACTCCATATCCTTTTATTATACGCCAGGTACCTCTAACTGCTTCTGAGCAACTGGGAACTTTGTACTCATGGTCCAATTCTAGTCCTATTGTGGTCTTCAAATTTGATATTGTTCTTCCTACCTTTCTAGAACGTGAATCCCTTCTCAAACTGCAATAAATCCCATTTAAAATGAAGAAAAGGGCCAAGTTAAAATAAAAATAACACTGGAGCAAGACTTAGTAGCCCTGTCTTTTTTTTTTTTTATTGGACTAAGTGGCTTTATTAAGGGAAGCCAGGATGACAAAGGACTTAAGAGTTGGCGTTGGGTCCCTTCTTCTTGTCAAAAGTAGGCACAACATTGACAAAACGTCGGTTGTACTGCATATGCCGCTTAGCAAGGCCAGTCTTCTTCTTCTCCTGTTTAGCCACCTGGGGAGTCTGATCTCTCACTTTCCCAGCACAAGCCAAGGAACCATGGACTTTACCTCCAAGCATGTGGCCAGCTACTTCCAGAGTGGTCAGGGGCTCTACCCCACACTGGACCAGGATAGCCTCATCTTCCAGCGGAGTGCCTCCCAGGAGCACAACCTGATCTTCAGGGGCAATGCCCACCAGCGACGCTACATGAACCTTGATCTGCGAGACGGTCTCCTGGCCTGTCACCTCGAGGGTGTGCAGCTCCTGGGCGCGAACAAAAAGCTGCAAGACGGCAACTGTAATGCCAGCCAAGCTTCCGATTCCGTGAAGATGGAGCCAAGAAAGAGTAGCCCTGTCTTCTTACCTCACCTACATCAACATGTGATCTTGGGAAGACCACGTAACTCCTCTAAGCCAAAGTGTTCATAATATACAAAACAGGGCTCTAAGTTCCTTCCCTACCTACTTTTGTGCATTTGTGTCAGACTGGAAAAGATAATGAATATGATGGAGCTCAGATAATATAGAGAAAAATGAAGAGAGACTTAGTATATGGTTTTAAAACATTAGGCAGAAGTCAAAGGCAGGGGACTAGGTTTAATTTTGGTTATGCATTAACTATGTTCCCCGAGGCCATCTGGACACTACTGTACAACATCCAAATACTCATTAAAACTGATGTGAAGAAAGAGTAAACAGCGAGGGATGCTGAAGCTGCTTTTTCAAGATTGTGCAGCCAGTGTGCAATGAGGTCAGTTTTCAAACTACACCTGAGTGACTTTGGAGGCTGGTGCTCCTGCTGCCCTGAATTATCCTAACCAACCCCACACTTGGCATGTGCAAAGTTACTCATCTCTTTTTAACTACTTCTAAATGTTTATGCTCTAATTTCTTCTGGCCTGACCGTAGGAACAGGTACAATGCATTCCACAGACAAGACATCTCTCATTAGATCTTTGACCATCGAACCAGAAGTGTCGTCTACTTCATATACTTGCTGGGAATCTGGGGAATGCCGAACAATTCAGTTTCTTCTTTCAGATATCCATGTTCTCCCAAGCCATGGCTGTACGCTATTGCTCTCACAATTCTGAGAACGCTTCCCTCTCTGCAAGAAGCTCCAGCTCATTGACGAGTGCTTTATAAATCTGAGGGCAGCTCCCCATCCTGTCGGTAATGGAATAATCGCTGAAAGAGACGGAGTCTGAGCCAGTTTGAGAGAATTTCATCTGCTTTCATTCTCCCCTGCTCTAATGGAGGGCTCCTGTAGACTCCAGTTTATCGCAGTCTCAAAGCCGATGGAGTTAAAGCAGCTGGTCAATTTAAACAGGAGCAGTGAGATGTTACTGTAGTCTGAGACAGTGCTAATAAACTTTAATAGATTTCAGCTAACAATTTGGTATAAATTAGACATCACCCTGCTGCTGAGATAATATCTCTTGGCACTGAATAACAGAAAATCAAGCTCTGTGAGTGATGTGCTTCAAAGCACCTTCATTGAGCCTCTGGATTCAGGCAGATTTCACAATTGATTACCACTTAGTCTTCCCTAGGTGTTAAGAAGACAGAACACCGCTCCAAAGTGCACCCCCAAAGGGAGTCCAGAGTTTGTCTCCTATTGAAGAAAGTCTCTTTGTTTACATAAGAAGTGTTTTCAATTTAAAAGCAGAGGGCAAAGCGGTGAGGAACCTCTAAGGAGGGAAGCCAGGAGTCAGGACGTTAGATAATTCTCTCGAGGGCGCATGTTCATAATTTTCTGGAATATTTTTAAATGCTCACCAATGCGTTCTTTTCAATTTTGTTCTGTTTCACAACTATTTGAAGGCAAGCTCTGCAATTCAAACAAGATTAAGTACATGGACTTAAAGCAGTATGTGGTTCTGGTCTCGACCTGGATTAAGCTAATTTTTAAGGTCATATGTATAGTATCAATGTCCCTTGACACCCTGGACAGTCGTTTATCACTCCTGAACTTCTCTTCCTGTGCCTATCTGTCTTGCCAAGATGTGAAGGGATAGAAAAAGAAAGAATCCCTAACTGTGCTGAATAAACACAAATTTTGGAATTTAATTGGTTACACGTAACCTTTTGGTGGTCCAGTTTACTTTGAACTTCTAAGTTCAAGGATGCCAAAATGAATTTGTGAAACTTACAGAAGTTCTTTGCTACAGACAAATCAGCCATATTTAGATCCCCTGATAGCTACCATGCTCCTATCCCTCCTATACGTATGGGAATGTTGTAGATTATCATAAACACACTTTACAAAGTCAGTACTGCAACTTTTCTGTTAAGCTTTACCTTGGTCACAAAATATCCCCCAGAACTCAGCACAGGGTCAACATTATTGGAGCATTTATTCCACGGCATCAAATACACATTTTTCTCCAGAGTTTAATATCTCTGAGGTCAAGAAGTCTCTCATTATTAACAACAAGCCAGAATTGAGCTAAACGCCTCTTTTTCCTTCTTCATAGCACACACTTTAGCAGTACACTGTGCAGTTTAGGAATTCCTAGATGTGTTAGCCTCTCCTAACAACAAGCCCAAAGTGGGTGGGAAGAAGCTTCACCATCTTTACCTCCAAGGTGCACTCTGGTTACACTTTCTCTGAGACAATTCCTGTCATCCCTATCCATTGTCCAGCTTTCAGATGCACAGCAGTTAATTGGAAAGACCATGGGATGATAAGAGGTGCTTTAGTCTTTAAACTACCATCACCCACGAGGACTTTACTGAGGTCCCTGACAGCAGATTTTCCTCATTGCTATATGCATGCAGATCTCCTGATTGCTGATACCAATGGTGTTGATTGTGGGTCCAAGAAAGAGGAAATTGTTGGAAACTGAATATTTTCTCCATCTGTCATGGTGTTGAGGGTCTTACTCTCTTTCCCTGACCCTTCTTCACCTTTCCAAGCATGATGTCCCATTTCAAGTAGTATTTTCTTCTAGAAACATGTCCAAAGTATCACTCTCTGCTGCAGATCGAGGGTTCCAAAGAATGGAATAATTTTATAATTATTAATAATAAGACAAACAGCCAGGAATGTGATAGAGCAGAGAGCATAAAACAGGGGGCCAGTAGTTCTCGACTGAAGACCCCAAGCCAAGCTTCTCTGTGTCTTTATTGAAAATTATCAGGAAGTAAATCACAAAGAGAATTCAATGCAAATGAAGCCAAGCTCTTTCTTTTGAAAACCTTCTGCTTGACTCAGGAAGGAGGGGTACACAAATGCAAGAATTTGGTTTACCCCCAACTATTAACCTTGATGCCTCAGGGTGAACTCTAGCTCAGAAAGTAACACCCCCTCTGTAGGGGGCCCCTTGCTGTCTCCTGTCTTGCAGGGAACAAACAGCTCATTTTCTAGGATCTGCCACAAGAGAAATCCCAACTTATATATCTGTAATTCCTTCAATTCCTGAACAAGGGTTTTCAAATAATGTTTGGTGTAGAGTTTGGCTTCCCATACTCTCTTTGCCTCCAAAGACCACTCTGGCTTCACTTTTCACAAGACATATCTGTTTGTTCTTCTGCCAATCCAGAGAATATTCAGTATTGTTCTCCAATACCAGAACTCAAAGGCATCACTTCTTCTTCTGCCACCCTTATTAACGGTCCAGCTTTTAGACACGTAGCAAATGATTGAAAAGACTAAGGCCTGAATTCGGTGCACTTATTCTTCAGATTGACATCATTGCTTTTCAGTACTCCAGAGAGATCCCTGACAGCTGACTTTACTAATAATGTAATGCATCCACTAATATCCTGACTCTCAAGGTTGTTGATTGTTGATCCAAGCAAGAGGAAATCACTGACAACTTCACTCCTTTCTCCAACTATCATGATGTTACTTATTGGCCCAATGGTGAAAATTTTTGTCTCCTGAATGCTGAGATGTAATCCATACTGAAGGCTATAGCCCTTGACCTTCTGTAGCAGTTTTTCAAGTCCTCCTCACTTTCAGTGAGCAAAGTTGTATCATCTGCACGGCACAAGTTATTGATGCATATTCCTCCAATCCTTATGTCATATTAATTTTCATTAAATCCAGCTTCATAAATTATTTGCTCAGTATACAGATTGGAAGGTCAGCTGTCAGGGGCCTCTCCAGAGTACTGCAGAGCAATGATGTCAGTCTAGAGACTAAGGTGTGCCTGATCCAGGCCATAGTCTTCGTAATTGCTTGCTATATGCATCAGAGAGCTGGACAATGACTAGGGATGACAGAAAGATAATTGATGCCTTTGAGCTGCATGGACTGCCAGAAGACCAAACAGGTTCACCCTAGAGAGGGTGAAACCAGGCTGCTCCTTGGACGTAAGGATTCTGAGGCTTTGTCTGACATACTTTAGTCATGTTACAAGGATGGACCAGTCCTTGGAGAGGAACATCATGCCTGGAAGGGTGGAGGGACAGAGAAAGAGCAAGAGAAGGTAGATGTGTCAGAGACAGTAAAGTTGGCACAGGATAGAGCAGGTTTTAAGGCTATTGTACAAAGGGTTCTTATGAATCACAAGTGACTCGACAGCACGTAACAGCAACAGCAACAGCAACAACAACAACAACAAATTGAATAGATGTGGAGCTAGGATACAACCCTGACACACACTTTTCCTAATTTTAAACCATGCAATGTTCCCTTGCTCCATTCAGAAAAAAGCATCTGGGTCTGGGTATAGATTTTGTATAGACACAATTAGGTTCCAAGATTCTTATTCTTCAACGTTAGCCATTGTTTGCTATAATGCAATCAGTCAAATGCCTTTTAATAAAAAAAACCAGATAGACATTCTTCTGGTATTCTCTGTTTTCAGCCAGAATCCTTCTGACATGGGCCTTATAATCTCTTCTAAATTCAGCATGAATTTCTGGAAATCCTCTATTAATGTACTGCACTAGCCATTTTGGGATGATCTTCAGCAATGTTTCGCTTGCCTGTGATATTAACAATATTGTTAAATAATTTGCATATTTTGTTAGATTATCTTTCTTGGAGATTGTCATAAATAGGGAACTTTCCCAGTCAGTTGGCCAGGCAGCTGTCCTCCAAATTTCCTGGCAAAGCCTGTCTAGGGTTGCATCTGTTAGTTGAAATATGTCCATTATTATCCTGTCAATTCCTGGAGCCTCCCCACAGCCCCCAACGTTTTCAACACAGGTCTAACCACTTACTTTATTACCGTTGGCTCTTGTTCACATAATACTTCCAGGAATTTTTCTGTGTCAATGAATTCTTTTTGGTACAATGACTCTTTGTTTTCCTTCCATTTCTTTTGATG